AAGGATCAAATAAGTTACTGATTTTCTTTCACAGAGAGTTTTTCTGTGCTGTTTTTTCTTTATCAAACTCTCCAAAGCTAGGGTCTTCTAAATATGGAACATAGAATTAGATCATATAAGTTTGTGCCTTCTTAACATAGAAAGATAAAAATTTGTTCCCCCAACATTCCCGATTATAATCAATATATTAATTACTGCTGTTGCTAATCAAATAAGTAAATAAAATACTGATTCTCTCTCATTCATACTTGTTCTTAATGCCAAATAATCTTATTGCAAAAGCATATTTACCGATGTGCTGGTATTCGCAGGTGTCCAGCAATGAGTAGTACATCACACAGTTGTTTCTCTTTCAAGTAGTTTTCCATTTTACGAAGAGTCTGCTCTGCATGGTTTACAGCATGAAAATGCTCTTCAGATATGCTGACATTCATTTCTTCAGGATGATGTGTATCTAATCTGAGAGGGAGGTAAGAGTGAGGAAATGGTTTATCACATTTGTAAACTAGAATTTTTCTCCCAGTAAGTTTGCAAATGTCCTGTGGAAATTTAGGCACATCAACTTGTAAAAGAAATATGTTGTATTAATGTCAAGTTAAGCTTTTCCCTGTGTGATTTTAAGTCTTTCACTTTGATTACTGCTTACATTTTGTTAAAGTGAAGTGCTATGGTCAGTACTTACAGTTGTAATGGAAACATATTTATTTATAGTTCATCTGCACGGACATGGGCAAGTGGTATATGCACAAACAAAAAGCTTAAAATATCACCCTCTTTGATTCTTATGCAGAAGGAAGACTGGGGAATCTACTTCGGTAAAGATTTACCACCTCGGCAACACAAAGAGGCTTGCTATGAGTCGGAATTGACTTGATGGCAGTGAGATTTTTTGTTTTTGATTCTGATAAGCATCACAGTTTTCATTAGGCATGGAATCCTTAGACTTGATTCTAAACACTTTTTTCAAATTTGATTATATCCTGAAGCTTTCCCATGAAGTGCTCATTTCACATCAGAAATATTTCTTACAAAATTCAAGCCTGAGAGGTCTACAGCAGGTTTTTTTTTTTTCCAATACAGAAATCCTATCAAGAAACTACACATATTTACGCATTTCATTTTTTAATATTGAGATAAGTGTGATGGCTGTTCAATTTACAATAATGAAAACTGTCTACATGTCATTTTCAACATCAATAAAGAAGTTTGCAAAGAGTAAACCAAAAAAACCAAACTCACTGCCATTGAGTCAGATCCGACTCATAGCAACCCCTCTTTGGGTTTCCACTGTGATATCACTGTGGAAGTAGATTGCACAACCTTCCTTCCAAGGTGTGGCTAGTGAGTAGAGATGTATAAATTTCATGGTTTGATAATCATGCATAAATGCTTTGCTGATCTTGTCTAATTCTCTTATGTTTCTTACAGTATGACTTTCCAATAAGCAGTTAAGATTAGTTTCAGGTTTGCCTAATCCCAATTCAGCATGTGTTTCTTTGTCAACAGTTGATCCAGAAGGGCACTGCTCTCTGTCTGTTCAATTCAAATGAATGACTCACTTCTGAATCTTCTTAATGTTTAAAAACTTTTTGGGATCTTCAGTCACAATTTGGTATTTACAATCAATGTACAATGTTATAAATATCCTTGAAAATTGACTCTATTCAGATGCATTGTTGTTTACTGGGATGGAAGAATTTCTTGACACCATAGACTATGCAGCATTTAGGTTCTGTCTCACTCACTTATCCTAATCTTTCCTCTGATGAAGCACACATTGAATTCACATTATCTGAGCAAATCAAACATTAAATGTTTTAGTTATCTTTATGTATACCCCACCACGCACTGGAGAGGTGACATTCTAATAGAGAAGTATGCCATAGGAAAATCTTGACAGGAAAAATTTTATTCTGTGATTTTTCTTCAGCCTAATCTGGCTAAGGGGAGCTCTGGTAGCGTAATGCCTAAGGCACTTGACTGCTAACAAAAAGGCTGGCGGTTCAAACCCACCAGCCGCTCCTCGGAAGGAAGATGGGGCTATCTACTTCCGTAGTGATACTGCCTCAGAAACCCAAGGAGGGGTCGCTATGAGTCAGGTCTGACTCGATGGCACATAACAACAACAATCTGGCTAAGTGTAAGATTCAAAAAGAAATGTCTTATGTTCTACATCCTGCTTTGGTGAGTAGTGACTGGAGTTTTAGGAGCTTGTGAGTAGCCAGGAATAGTGCAACTATTAATTTCTCCCCATCTGGAACAAAGTATAAGAAAGAAAAGAAATAATACATGGGAAAACATTAATCTAAAGGACTAATGGACTATGCAAACTTCAGCCTACATGACTCTGAAGCAAGAAGAACTTGATGGAGCCTGGCTACCAGTAGCAACTGCTCTGAAAAGGATCACATTAAAAGGTACTGGATACATTGGAACAAAAATGTGGAAAAGCACTCAAAATTATAAAACAAAAAAACTGAGCTTACTGGTTGCATAGAGACCGGTGGAACTCCTGAAACTATGGCTCTTGGTCACCTTTCAGACCTGAAACTGAGCTCATTTCCATAGCTGAATTTTCTTTCAAACAATAAACAGTTCTACAAGGTGAACAACAAGTCTAATAAAGTAGATTCTGCTTAGAACATCAGCCATTTAAGATAAAAAGTGTAGCATTTCCCCAAGGACAAGATTCAGCAGGCAGGAAGCATTAGTAGAGAAGGAATAATGGAAACAAGAAACACAGGGAAGATATGAGAGGAGTGATGTTAAATTGAGGGGATTGAGATTAAACAAAATGTGTGTGAATTGTTGAATGTAAAACTATTTCCTTTGTAAACTTGTATCCACTCACAAAAAAGTAATAAATAAATAAGTAAAAGAAGTGTTTTCAATTCTTAGCTTATTTGGGGTGTTTTTACAAGGACATAGTAAATTTATAATATTTTTGAAATACCTTCACAAACTTCTAAACTTTCACAAGCTTCTAAACTCCAGTCACTACTCACTAAAGTAGGAAGTAGATAATTAAATGTAGATGTAGGGTTTCTAATGTAAATATTCTATAAATATGAACTACATATAAACAAATAAGTTTCTAATAGACTGAATCAACCTTTGTCTGCCTCATAAATAAATAATTAGTACTCAAAGAAATATGGTTAGATCAATATATTTTGTTGTTGTTATGTGCCGTCGAGTCGGACCAGACTCAATAACTCCTCCTTGGGTTTCTGAAGCAGTATCACTATGGAAGTAGATTGCTGAATCTTCCTTCTGAGGAGTGGCTGGTGGGTTTGAACAGCCAGCCTTCTGGTTAGCACTCAAGTGCCTTAGGCACTACGGTACCAGAGATCCTAGATCAAAATATACCATCCAAAATATAACAGATACAAAACCCTGATACTAAATCCAGGCAAAGACACCTTTATAATGGAAAATTATATGACAATATACCTCATGAATATAGAAACAAAAATTATCAACAAAATTCTAGCCAATAAGATTCAAAAGCATATAATAATAATAATAATAATAATAATACATTATTATCAAGTGAGATTCATACCAGGGAAGCAAGGATGGATCATAATTAGGAAATCAATCATGTAATTCACTACATTAATAGAACAAAGGGGAAAAAATCACATAACCACGTTAATCAACACACACACACACACACACACACACACAAAGGCATTTGACAAAACTCAACTCTCTTTCCAGATAAGAACTCTCAGTAAAATAAGAATAGAAGGGAAATTTCTAAACATAATTAAATCTATGTACAAAACAAGCAACCAGCATTATCCTTAATGGAGAGGGGAAGAAAGCATTCCCCTTGAAAATAGGAACCAGACAAGGTTGCCCTATATCACCAGTTTTATTCAATATTGTATCTGAAGTCATAGCTAGAGAAATAAGGCAAGAACAGGAAATAAATTGCATCTAAATTGGTAGGGAAGAAGTATAACTATGCCTATTCACAGATGCCATGATCCTACAGCAGAAAATCCCAAAGACTCCACAAGAAAGTTACTGGAACCAATAGAAATCTTCAGCAAAATGACATGGTATGAGACCACCCAACAAAAATCAGTTGGATACCTCTATAATGAAAAAGAGAACCTTGAAAGGGCAATCAGGAAGATGATACCATACAATAGACCTGTGGTAGTTAAATTTGTATCTCAACTTGGCTGGGCCTGGTTGAGTGGCTGGGCAGCTGGTGGTAGTTATTCCCCATGATGAGACTGGCAATCAACTCCATGGTGGGATCTACCACAAGCAGCTGAGTAGCTGCCTTTAGGATGTGATCTGCTTCCTGTATATAAGTAGAAGCCTTGGGGATAGTATCTAGCATATAGCATGCTTGGACACTGTATGTAGCCATATCGTTGTTCAGTAGCCTGCCATACTCTGCCGACCTTGGGACTCATAATGGACTTGAATTAATGGCCTGCCATGTGGTTTGGTAACATCAGGGCTGTGCCATTTTATTTTGTTGACCTTGGGCTTTGTTAGTCTCAGCAGCCACTAGCTCCCTGAGTGAAGAGATGCCTCTAGCTTCAGTGGGCTGGGAGTAAGAAGCAGAGCTGGAGCCCAAAGTTGAGGGCCTTTCACACAGCCCCTAGAACCTGGCATTTTGAACTTGGACTTAAAGCCTCCAAATTGTGAGGGAATAAACTCCTGTTCATTCAAGCCATCCCATTTGTGGTATGTTCTTGTCAGCGTGGCACTAGGTAACCAGAAAGAGGCCCCAAAAGGATAAAGTACTTTGGAATAAATCTAAGGTATAAGGAAGGAATTTGTCTAAAGGATTAATGGCTGATGTGAATCACAGCCTCCTCTAGCTTGAATCTAGAAGAAATAGATGGTGCCCAGCTACTACTACTAACAATTCTGACCAGGTATACAATAGAAGGTCCTGGATAGAATGGGAGAAAATTGTAGAACAAAACTCAAATTTATAAAAATGGCCAGACTGATTGGTCTGATAGAGACTGAATGAACCCCAAGATTATTGCCCAGTTACCCTTCTTACATGGATTTGAAGCCATTCCTGGAAGCCACCTCTTGATAAAATCATAGAGTGGTCTATAAAATAAGCAATAACAGCTCTGAGGTTATAACATCTCAGGGCTGTTATTGCTTATTTTACAGACCCCATGAGGAATATGTTCCTTAGAAAAATCAATTATAAGAGATCAGAAGGGCAACATTTGCCCAAAAACAAAGATAAGAAGGAAGGAAGGGGCAGGAAAACCAGCTAAATGAAAATGGGGAACAGAGGGTGGAAACAAGGAAAGTACTAACATATTTTGGAGATTTAAACCAATGTCAGGGGACAATTTGTGTATGAGTTATTGAATGGAAAATTAATTTGCTATGAAAACTTTCACAAAAAAAGCATAATAAAATATTGATAAACATAAAAATAGAGCAAATAGTATAATTTATTCTTGGCCATCATGGAGGCAAAAATCAAAAACACAAAACAAAACAGACAAGCAAATCAACAATACATGTAGTCAGTTCCAGCTCTTATTACTTACTAGCTAAGTGATCTTGGGGGAGCTCTGCTAGCGTAGTGCCTAAGGTACTTGACCGCTAACCAGAAGGCTGGCGGTTCAAACCCACCAGTCACTCCTCAGAAGGAAGATGGGGCAATCTACTTCCATAGTGATACTGCCTCGGAAACCCAAGGAGAGGTCACTGTGGGTCAGGTCTGACTCGGC